GTAACAGAATCAGCACCAGACGGACGGAATCTAATGCACCGCACATGAACTGTAAAGCCCATTAACTTGGCGATACCCAGAAAACACTAGCATACTTGACTTCATCAGCGGTCTTGTGAATAAGAAGTCTGCTTTGTTCAAGGTTTTATCCAGCAGTAATGCTATAAAGTTTCTCACAGCTGGATTAAAAAAAAAATAATTCTTTCCAATGTCCTTTTAAAGCCTTCGCTGTTATCTTCACTTTTTGAGTCATTCTCACCATTTTGACTGCCATTGTTTTCACAACTTTTACATTTCATTTAACATATTAAACATTTTTTATGTTTCCATCTCAAAATGTCCATGAATGAATGACACTTTATTACAGACTCAAGGTCTATGGTTATGTTATCTCTGTACTATTGTCATTGCATTCATTTTATGAATATACAACATTTTCCCTCTGGATTCCTGCAGTCCTCAGAAGCTTTAATGGCTAAATAAAGATGGCGTGTGGTTGTAATGATCTGCAACCCTCTGCCACACACAGGCACACAAATGTTGGATTTGTCTCATTCGCTCTCTCTCAGGCCGATTGATTGGAACAGGTGGAATAACGTCATATGTCAGCAGTAAAGCTGCACGGTGAAACGTGCTTGTTTGCCAGAGGTTTTGGGTTTGTCTTCATTTTACAACACCACCAAGTCAGTCTTGCCTGAATGAAGGCTTTTGTTTGTTTGAGCTTGTCCTTTACCTGTGGCAGGAGAGGTAATTGGGCTGTCAGTACTTTATAATGTTTTTATAGGGTTGTCAGTATAGTTTTAGGAATTACACTTTATTTTTCAGTGTAGCTTCTTAGCATCATTAAAAATAAACCATATGGAACAGGTGGAATAACTGCAAAATTTGTAGAAAATATGTTTTTGATTTCAGTATTAGGACCTCCATTGGCCTGTAAACAAAAAATATCACAAATTAAAAACCAAGAGAGGCTTACTATTATATCTACCTGTACAAAGATTTTACAACCTCAACCATATGAATTAAAAGAAACATTGTTGACATCCCATAGCTATAAACTCTCTCGGTGGCTTTCCAATGAAGGCCACGTCCACTGACGACACGTGCACGCACACACAAAAACCTCAAACAACCTCACTTAGATCTGAGAATAGAAGAGCTATCAATTATGTGACAGAAAATAACTGAAAAACAAGAGATATCAGAAAACCCCATCTCTGTTCACTGCTCTATAGCACTCTCCCAGCAGGTTGAATGCTGCGTTGTCAGTAAATATTGGAAATTGGCATTTCCTCTGGGTGATACGTCCTGAAAGGTCAGTGCTGGGCGGCAGCACCACAGTGGCTCTGCCTCTGTCTCTGTTCTGTATAATGGAATTCAGTGGAATTGCATGGCATTTCCAATGATGGGACCTGACCTTCCTCATCATCAGTTATACCATGGATATTACCCAACACGGAGCACAGCGAGATCCTTTTGTTCAACATCATGCTCTGTCATTCTTATTGCCTATTTCCTTTTCTTATTTTTGTGGCCTAAGTGTTTGTCATCAAAAACAGATTTCGGTTTTGCTTACACTTTGCTCTAAAACCTTAAGAGCCATATCTTATATGCAAAGGAAGACAAAATAATGAAACAGTGACACACTTGCAAAGTGAGACCCTCACGAACATGGGATAATATTTCTGAGAAGACACAGAGCCAGACGTGGAGAGACAAAAACATCTACACAAGAATCACTGACATCTCTACCTGTACTGCTGGCCTGTTTTGAAAGATGGTGTCTCACCCTTTGTATTAGTTTGCCTTGAAAAGATTTCCAGTGTTGAAGTGATGAAGTCTCTAGAGTCCCTCTTCATGCTTTGCCATCTCTCAATAGTAGCTGACCAAGCAAGGTTAACTGTCCTAGTCCATAACAGGCCACACAGAATGTAGAAAAAGTGAGAAAAGCAAAAAGAGGCTATATTGTTGGACCTGCAGGAAAATTTACAGCAGTACTCAAGGCAAAAAAAAATTCCAATGATGGACTCTAATGGTTGAAGCCTCTATTAAAGCAGAGCATCACTCAGGGGGTCGAGTAATGATGCTTTTTTTCCCCCACATGAGCAGATTTTGTTTTTTTGAGATGAAAATACTTTGTTTATATAGCGGGGCTAAATGTGAGCTTTATAAAGCATGACTGTGGGATTGTGGGATTGCGCCACCTCTAGACAAATTTATATACAAGTTGATCCAGTACACCAACATTCATTTATTTGCACAATTATGTATATCATTAAGAATAAAAGAGACCTAACATTTCTTATAGTGAATCTCGAGTTAGCCTAGGTATTGATACATTGGATTTTTGGAAGTATTAACATAGGGCAGCAATGGCAGTCAGAGGGGCTACAGTAAGTCTTAAAAGCTGCCATCAGATTGTGAATATCGTCGTATCCAGGGCTTTTTTTTTGCATGACTAAAACATTCCAAGGTGTTTTTATCTCTTGTCTGTGCAACTTGCGTATTCACATGTCACAGTCAGAGCAGCCTTGCAGAGTTTCCTGAGTGCCAAGTGAAGCCAGCAGCTGAGCTGAGTATGAGCACAAGTGATGCTTTCACAGTGCCCTGCTCTCAGCCATCTGAATACTCCCCCAAGCCCTCATTATCATGGCTGCTGCATTCAGCCTCGCCCCAGGTCTACGCGCGCACACACACACCTCCACACACAGGTTTATTTACTTAATCCACCCCCCCATCCAAATAAAAAAAAACTACTATTGAATCCTCCTGTCTCCATCCCCTTTTCCTACTTGGATCCCCCCTCTCTCTTATTCCAACTACTTATTTTTCTGTGGTTCTTGCCTCTTTTTCTAACCTCCATCCCTCTCCCGTTTTCTCCAGTCTCTGTTACATATGATGATCATCTCTCCAACTCTGTCTCATCTCCTCTTGCACACCTTTCTTTGATTACAACATCAGCTTACATTTTCTTTTTCTCTTCTTAGTTCACCCTTCTATTAATCAAGAGTGGATGGTAGTGATTGGGAAGACCATCCATTTTATTAATATTGTCACAGGGCATCAATTATAATTGTGATGGATTTAGTGGTCCATTAGTTTACATACACAACCAGTCAAGTTTTTTTTTGACTAGTCATGAATGCCACAGGGATTACTTTCTTTTTGTATGGTGAAAAGATGTTACTGATGTACTTTCTTGTCCTTTTTAAGCGATAGTCTCCCATTCCTCTGGTGTGTGCAGTGTATGAATGAATACTGTTGTGTTGGCAGGGGCGGTATGTAAGTGCAGCATGCGTGGCTGTATGTCTTGAAGTGAGGGTGCTATATTCAGCAGAGCGCTCTACTCTCCCACCAGGGATTCTGACGCACTAAGCAGGAATTAGACGCATCATAAGTCCTAGTCTGTTTTGAAGTGTTCAAAAATCATGATTCCAGAGATGTTTCCTCTTCCTCCTTTTGCACTGAGAAATGAAAATGAGTATTTCCTCACCTTCTGTGGATTATTGTACTTTAATAGTGCTAATGGCCATTACTGACAAATGAAAAAAGCATGATGCTCACTCTTTGTCATTTGCTCACTTATACTGAGACAAAATGCCTCTTTATTTTGTCCTGACACGTACAAACACATTTGAGTGCTACAGCACTGACCTGGCCAGCTCCTTCCTGCAGAGAATTCATCAATTAAAAATTGGCAGCTATTACCTCCCTTTCACCTTTTGCATGCACTCAAAATTAACAGCTGCCAAAGGACTCCTCCTTCAGACAGCCAAGCACCTTTATTTTTAGCCAACTGGTTTTTTCTTTATTTTTATTTTTTTGTGTGGTATGCACAGGTATAGTTATATTAGTAGGTGATGTGAAAAGCTGGGATCATTTTACCTGTAAAGGTTGACCTAACCATATCATAACCACTGCTGACATGCTGTTGTATGTGTTGGTTCACTGTGATGATGTGATGTAAAGCGTCCGGCACGTTTGCGACCCTCACTTTGAGAGAGTTGAGTAGTGTGGCCTAATTACTAGGCTGGCAGGGGGCTTGTTCAGCAAACTGGGAAAGGAATTGGAAATGGAGTTCCAAGGTAGAGCCCAAGTCTAATTATAATGAGATGAAATAATTCACAAAGATTGCCAGTGCTAAATGAGATGCATTTGTGGGACTCTTCACATACTGCCACGTTCAAGTGGGTTTTATGATAATTTATTGGATTTACTGAAGCTGATGGATTCTTTTTTTTTTTTTTTTTCTTTCATGGCTCCAGTGTATTTTGTGTTCCTAGCTGACTTTAGATAATATTGCTGTGCGTGATGCAGAACAAGAATAAGAGGCTTTTCTAACTTGGGACTGAACCTGTGATCTAAAAAAAAGTTTTGCCACACATTTTAAGCTTCTTCTTATCCATTGCATGTTTTCCCTGAGTATTAATTGTTTATTGAGGCCTGTTTGCATTCCAACCCTTTGTCATTGTTTAAGTTGTTAGAATGAAGAGTGTGAAGACTTTTTTCCTCATAAAATTACAGATGACTTTGTTTCATAGTACTTGTCAATAAACACAGCTGCTGTTTACACTTAAAATCAAGTAATTCTGTTTCCAGAAAGACTTAACACAAGATTATTTCCAGCACCTAAAAGTAGGAGATTGACAGCAGTGTTCGCCTCCTAATAGAATTTGCATTTTCAGTGACTTGATCGTGCTTAACCCTGTGAAGATGAGTTATCAATCTACCAGCTTGTGGGCGTGCATTTGTCATTTTCTCTCTGAGCACATCTCTAATGTGGGTGTCTACCTTACCTGTCACACTGCTACTAACTCTTCTTGATAAAGCGTTAGAACATTACATCTGTAGAATCACATAAATACTCACATTGACTAGTGCCAGAAAATGAATAATGAAAAAAAGATTCATTTTGCCACCTTCAGTCAGGGAGTATTTTAAGTAGTATTTAATTTGTCTATACTAATTGATGTGCTGATTGTTGTCTTTCCCTCTCATAGTGCCCCGACTCTACCTGTAAGCAGGATCTGCTTGCCTACCTGCAGCGTATTGCCTTGTATTGCCACCAGCTCAACATCTGCAGCAAAGTCAAGGCTGAAGTTCAGAACCTGGGAGGAGAGCTGGTTGTCTCGGGGGTAAGTTCAGCATCATTTTAACCACGGACACGTCTGCTCTTTACATCTTTATTATGCTAAGGCCTCACAGTAAATAAAAAGTAGTAGAACAGTTCATATGGGCTATTAATACTTGAAATAAGCTTAATTATACACTGAACATTTTTTGTTTTTGGATGATTGCAGGCTATTGTAAGAATTTGATATAGTAATGCATTTTTAAAGTTGGCTAAGTGCCAGTAAGAGAGGAGAGCAAGAAGACTGAAAGCTGATAGAAACAGCGTGGGTTTCTAAAAACATGGATAAAATATAGAGAAGCAGGAGGCTGCTTTACTGAAACCTGAAGGATAAATACATTGTATTTTGGTGAGAAACGATGAGTGTAAACAGGGCAGATTGTTTATAGTGAAATCTCCACAGGGCTCCTTTATTTTTTTAGATAGAAAGATTATTAAATCAATAAAAAGCATTGGTTACTTTCTAAAGTTTTATTATCTGGTGTTGCCAAAATAAATTAAAGATACTAAGACTTAATAGCATTGGCTGCTAGTTGTGATTAGTTAATGATTCATTTTCTGCATTTGGAGCTTATGTTTTATATCTCATAAACGGATAACAGAAATGTTTCTTTTTTTTTCTACAAAGGATGATGCACACATGTTTCCTGACCTTTTCACTACTTAATATAATATTGTACAGGGCCACTGTTTGTGAGCTTTAATTAACTACTTACTTGCCAATCAAATTAATTAAAATACATTGCCTGCATGTGCAGGAAATAATGAATTCCTCCCAGCTTTCTGTCAGGCTAAGTATGCTTCCAGCTCTTCCAGTCAAGTGTCACCAGTGTCTCTGAGGCTATTAAATTGTGGGGATTAAATTAGTGTGACCTTTTCCCATATTCTCAAATTTCTCACATCTGTTGTGTGCCCGACAAATTCGGAAAGGTCGTCAATTCTTCAGTACAAACACTTGAGTCTTGGTTCCCCCCCAGTAAACTTTTAGTATTAAACTGACATTAGAAGCACAGAAACAGTTTATGGTCACTTCACATGAATTAAAAGATGATGCAAATTAACTATCAGTCTTGGTTTTCACTGCTTTATATGGCTAACTGTTTCTCTGCCCCCCCCACATCTCTTTCATGTAACTAGCTGGACAGCGCCATGTCCCTCATTCAGGCTGCAAAGAACCTGATGAACGCAGTGGTGTCCACTGTTAAGGCTTCCTATGTGGCATCTACTAAGTACCAGAAGAGCAAAGGCATGGAGGCCCTCAACATGCCAGCTGTCTCCTGGAGGATGAAAGCTCCTGAGAAGAAACCTCTGGTGAAGAGAGAGAAGCAGGATGACGGCCAAACTAATAGAGTCAAGAGATCCTCTCAGAAGAAGCATGTTAACCCTGTGCAGGCTCTGAGCGAGTTTAAAGCCATGGATAGCATCTAGACTCCCCAGTGTTTGATTCAAGAGACCATATTTTCTGACCAGTGGCTCGATACAGTAGATGGAGCTTGTCATTCTATCATATGTTTTACCATATTTGTGCTATCTTTGCATAGACCACTTGTCAGTTTGACCCATTATATTCATACACTGCATAAATTCTATTCGTGTGAGTTCAGATGTGCTCTAGTCTAGTCAGTAACTCTCTCCTCTGGAAAGTGCCGTTAGAGGGGAATCAACTGGACAGAGGTATTTTTTATTCAAGTTTTCTTTCAGGTTTATGGGAGAAAATGAATTTGATTTCATAGATATATGAATTTTGTCCAAGAGGCTTTTGATTATTTTGTATTCTAACCAGTTATAGTGTATAGTAATAATGCGGGATCTCTGGGTTTTTCCCCACTGTAATGTTTGATTATGGCAAGATAACTTCTGTACTGCAGATATCAACTTTCTTATTTTAACTCAAACTGTTGTAATTCTAGATGATTTGGATGTGCTGGGCTAATTGGAACTATGTTTGGTTCAACCTTAAAGAAACCAAAGTCGGTATGTTTCCATGTATGCCTGCATTTTTATAACTTTATACCTACTCTGTTATTCCACATTTAGATAAGTTGAAACTGACTCTGACACCATTTTCAGTGCTGTATGAATGACTTATTCTTTATCATTTGAACTGGTAAATATAATTTCTAATTTAAGTATCTCAAATTATATTTTCTTAATGTTTTTTTTTTTTTCACGACACAACAAACCTAAAGTGCTCATGTTTTTCTCAGCCATCTGTTTTGCTACAAAAGTGGTACATGTGTTTAATCCCATACTTAAAGCACACAGATCCAGCCAGTTCAGTCAAACTGTGTAAATAAAGCCTCAATGCTGTAGACGGAACCTGGTGGGCTAAACAGTGAGTCGGCCATGTGTCGGTACTCCCTAAAGCCAACAAGCTTCATTTTCTGTCAATGAGACCAAACGCTTCTGCAATCTAAGAATGTGTCCAAATTGAGGGATCAATGTTTTCTTTCCACAGCTTTAGAGATGGGGGAGGAAAGGAGATGTAAATTCCACTTATTCTTTGTATTCCGTGTCTTTAAGCTTGAACACTAATAAAGATTTTGTCGTGCACAATCGTTATAAGAACCTAGAAACAAGTTGCCAGGTGTTGGAGCTTTAAAATGAAACTTTTTTTTTCCCTCAGTTAACTGTGGGATGTAGTTGCTCTGTGCAGCTTGTTTTCCAGTCATACAGTACATAGCATTTTGCTGCATAGTGGTGCATTGGTACAGCGAGGCTTTGAAATCCTGCTGCTTTGGTCTGGGGCCTGGATCGTTGTTTTTCTCGTTTGACATCTGTCAACTATAGCAGGATGGGCAAACGAAGTTATTTGACAGGTGGATATTTTTTACTGTAGAACTGAAGAGTGGTTTTCCATGTGTTTTTCTCACAGTGTGGCTGTTGCTGTAATAGTTTGGACCTGACATCAAACTACTTTGCTGTGGATTTTTTATTAAGAACTCAATATTAATGCACACGTTTCTTATATTCATGTGCCTACATTATATCTTAATAAACAATTGAAATACAACTGCTGTTGGTTTCTTTTTTTAAATTTTGTTATTTGTATGGCAGACTGAAGTAATATTTTCTCTCCTCACTTTGAGACATGCTTTCCTTTTAAGCCTTATACTGGATTAATATTATGTTTAGTTTTTGGAAAGTGAACACTGGAGTCATTGTCTTCAAAGGTCAAGCAAGTTTCAGCACACAATGTTGCTGTGCATAATCAAGGCGTTATGTATACATACTGTAACTCGCATATAGACTTGATACAGTGTTCTCTACTGTTGTGGGCTACGTCCTCTTAAGATATATGTACAGCTTTCAACATCAGACTCCTTCTGTCCTTAAAAGATCTGTTTGTGTAGAAAAATGCAGTGAGAGACCCATGAAAGTGCACTATGTGAAGGCAAAGTTCCTGGAGTGTTTGTTTTGTTTTAGCCCAAACTGCTGTAGTAATTGCACATCAGACTTCATCTGAGTCATCACATGACATCAAGACATCCACCTTTTCATATTCTATACTCCTTAGTATAAGTATCACTATGTCTATGTGTTATGATGATCGAGTTTGATTTTGTGTCCCCTTTATCCCTACATCATGTATATCCATGTAAGATTCTTATTTCATCCCAGAATTATTTGAACAATCCACAGAAAATGTATATGCATATATGGATCTTTGCAGAGTTTGTTCAGGAAGATTAATTTCATGCTACTCTATTTGTTCCTTTTCTCTCCAACTCATTCCATTGAGGGCGGTTTTCCTCTGCAGCTCCTGAAAAGAC